TCTCTCCCCTCCTCTCTCTCCCCTCCTCTGTCTCCCCTGCACACTCTCCCCTCTTCTCTCCCCTCCTCTCTCTCCCCTGCACACTCTCCCCTCTTCTCTCCCCTCCTCTCTCTCCCCTGCACACTCTCCTCTCTTCTCTTCTCTCCCCTCCTCTCTCTCCCCTGCACACTCTCCTCTCTTCTCTTCTCTCCCCTCCTCTCTCTCCCCTGCACACTCTCCTCTCTTCTCTTCTCTCCCCTCCTCTCTCTCCCCTGCACACTCTCTTCTCTTCTCTCCCCTCCTCTCTCTCCCCTGCACACTCTCCTCTCTTCTCTTCTCTCCCCTCCTCTCTCTCCCCTGCACACTCTTCTCTTCTCTCCCCTCCTCTCTCTCCCCTGCACACTCTCCCCTCTTCTCTTCTCTCCCCTCCTCTCTCTCCCCTGCACACTCTCCTCTCTTCTCTTCTCTCCCCTCCTCTCTCTCCCCTGCACACTCTCCACTCTTCTCTTCTCTCCCCTCCTCTCTCTCCCCTGCACACTCTCCTCTCTTCTCTTCTCTCCCCTCCTCTCTCTCCCCTGCACACTCTCCTCTCTTCTCTTCTCTCCCCTCCTCTCTCTCCCCTGCACACTCTCCCCTCTTCTCTTCTCTCCCCTCCTCTCTCTCCCCTGCACACTCTCCTCTCTTCTCTTCTCTCCCCTCCTCTCTCTCCCCTGCACACTCTCCACTCTTCTCTTCTCTCCCCTCCTCTCTCTCCCCTGCACACTCTCCTCTCTTCTCTTCTCTCCCCTCCTCTCTCTCCCCTGCACACTCTCCTCTCTTCTCTTCTCTCCCCTCCTCTCTCTCCCCTGCACACTCTCCTCTCTTCTCTTCTCTCCCCTCCTCTCTCTCCCCTGCACACTCTCCTCTCTTCTCTTCTCTCCCCTCCTCTCTCTCCCCTGCACACTCTCCTCTCTTCTCTTCTCTCCCCTCCTCTCCCTCCCCTGCACACTCTCCCCTCTTCTCTTCTCTCCCCTCCTCTCTCTCCCCTGCACACTCTCCCCTCTTCTCTTCTCTCCCCTCCTCTCTCTCGCCTGCACACTCTCCACTCTTCTCTTCTCTCCCCTCCTCTCTCTCCCCTGCACACCCTCCTCTCTTCTCTTCTCTCCCTTCCTCTCTCTCCCCTGCACACTCTCCTCTCTTCTCTTCTCTCCCCTCCTCTCTCTCCCCTGCACCCTCTCCTCTCTTCTCTTCTCCCCCCTCCTCTCTCTCCCCTGCACACTCTCCTCTCTTCTCTTTTCTCCCCTCCTCTCTCTCCCCTCCTCTGTCTCCCCTGCACACTCTCCTCTCTTCTCTTCTCTCCCCTCCTCTCTCTCCCCTGCACACTCTCCCCTCTTCTCCTCTCTACGCTCTCACCTCTTTTCTCTTTTTTCCGCTCTTGTATCTCCGCTCTCCTTCCGTCTCTCCTCAGCCCCCTCCTAGACTAACATTTGAGGCTACTTTGTGTGAGTCACGTTTTACCGGGAAAAGCACCGAGCTCCGAACATCAGGTTAATGTTCTCTTGTTATTGGAGGCCGTGCGGCAGGACTGATGCGGACACCATCAATTAGCTTCAAGCTCCATTTCTCAACACACATACACACTCTCACACATGCACACACACATACACACTCTCATACATGCACACACACACACACACACTCTCACACATGCACACACACACATACACGTTTTTGTTACCTGGTGGGTCCCTTTGACAGGGCCGTTCAGAATGGGACCCATAGACATAATCTTTTTTTACCAAGACTTTAAGTAATACAAAACAGTCAATAGAAACCAAACAACTATTTTAAAGGAATTTTATTTTAGATTTTGTTTTCGAATTGCAGTGATTCTATTTTTGACATAGAATTTAATGCCACTCCATGTCCGATGTCTAAGGTCATCTGGTGAGGCATTAATGCAGGCCAGGCAGTGAGACTTCCCAGGGACCTTTCCAGTCTGTATGAAAGGTGTCATGGTCTTCTCCACAGCCTTCACCTCAGATGCAGACCATGGCTTTCTTACACGTTCTAGGGAGAGAAATAAAAATATATTAGCAATATACACTCCCAGGGTGAGGACCAAGCAGCCTGGCTGTAATCCCCCACCTGGTACACTTACCAGAAGGGGCACTGCCACTACCATGGGGTGCATCTGGATGAATGGTTGAAGGTTCTCCGCTTGAAGTTTCTTTTAGCCCGTCCGTTTGTGAGAGGATCTCTACTGCTCTCCCTGTCGCACAGAAAATAAAAATACAAGTGGCCTTTAGGGGAAAAAAATCATACATATTTTAATAATATCAAGAATTACCTTCAGGCTCAATTTGTATCTGGTCGAGGCTCTTTCCTTCGAATTCCGTCACTCTTCCCTGCTCCATGGCCATCAACACTTTGCTGATTTTGGCCAGCTCCAGTGTCCCCTCTGGTAGTCTGTAATATTGCCTGTGGATGCGAATGTCATGGCCGAGGAAGTTGGCAAGTATGTCCATCTCATTCTCTTTCATATTGAGAACTGTAGACATAGTAGCTATGTGCTTTCTAAGTTTGGTTGAGGATAGCATCTCTGGATGCACCGCACCACATTCTTTGGCTACCTGGCGTAGGGAGTCTGATCCCCTGATGTGGGTGTCTGCGCCCGGGCGGGAAAAGAAGTATGGGTTATGGTCAGAGATGGAACAGGCCCTTCTGTTCTCCACCAGCACCTCCATCGAAGCAATCATTTCAGGAGTCAAAAGAACCGGCACTTTCCGACTTCTTTTCCCTTTAATTTCAATGCGTTGAAAATGCTGACACAGCTTTTTCTCAAGTTGGGACAGTCCCAGAGCAATGTCAGAATGGATCCCAGTCTTACTTCTTAAGGTAAAGGCTGTCAGTGGCATCTTTGAAACCTCACCTTCCCTTCTTCGATTGAAAATGATGACCTCACAAAGAGTCAAAACTGCCAGTTTAGACCAATGCTTAGACGTTGGCTCACTTATTAGGGTTTGCACATATTCAGGTCGACATACCTCAATATGTGCATGCATGGCTCTAACGTCCTCAGTCAGAGGGAGCAGGTCCGGAGTGTTCCACTTGGCTTGCCGGAGGGTCTGTAGGGCAGCAGAAGAAACACAGACGTCCCACCTCTTCTCAAAAAGCAGCCGGCTTCGTTGGAGGTTTTTAATAAATAGTTCATCAACACAATGCTCCATTTTTGAGTCACATTCAAGAATATCTGCTAGCTTTCTGAGGCTATGGCCGAGTTTGAGGGCCAAGGATGGAGTCTTGTATTGATTTGTTTCCTCATCATATCCAGCCACAGACCTGACTGCATCAATCACATGGTTAAAGTTGGAAGGAATAAAGAAATCCTTAATTGTTTTCAGTTTCCCTGCGGTTTTTGCTTCGTTAATTAACCTACCGACTTCTCTCATTTTCTGCCTAATGTAATCATGCTTTGTCTTATCATGCCCGTGTTTTAAGTACAGGTGCTCTCCGAGTCTCAGAATCCCCTTTTCTGCTTTGACAACACCCGTGACCTCATCCTGATGCATTGCCGAAATTAAAGACCACAGCTTTTTGCTGATGCCCTCCGGTACAGGCTGGGCTAGGGAGCAGAGGGACTGGACCCTACTTCTACCTGGTTTAGCCTGGGCATCTTTCTGTGAAAGCCGGCACCTGGCCACATGCCTCCACAGCGACTTTCGCTTAAGCAATGCCCCACAGTCTATACAGTGCAAAAACTCACTGGATTTAACTGGGGAATTTGGCTGTTTAGCTGGGACTAAAGTTCCAATGCCGGCCTTTAAAACCTCAAAATTGTGCTCACGGTTTCCACTATTCCTGATCAAATCAAACTGAAGTTTACGTGCTTTAGATTTCACAGGTAGAGCCAATGCTCTGGCTACGTCACTTTCATTTCCATGTTTTCTAGTCAAATGACGGGACATTTTGTGGCAGGACATTGAACAGTAGAGGCAGAAGTGTCTCTTGCTGTATACTCGCCCCCCATTTTTCTTCTTTTGCAGCTGCATGATAACAATCTTATTTGCCTTTGGTTCGTCACTTTCCGAGTCTTGAAGAAAAGTGTTTTTGATTTTTCTTTTTCCATACTTTTTTACAGGTTTCTTCTTGACAGTTAAATCGTCAGAATCTGAGTCGACTTCATCAATTAGGGACTCTTGACTAAGCTGCACAAACAACAAATAATTTGTAATCATTCTATATAACAATTTGAAGTCATGACTTGTAGTCAGCACTTACCAGTGGTTTGTAAGCGTGCGCTTCAGTGTGCTCCTCCATGATTTCTTGCAGCCTAATGAACCACACACTTGCACCTTTTTCTAGCCTGACACCTGATTTCCTCTGTTGTGCTGCTCCATGATTGGCTCCAGCCTGCTGGACTGAAATTGCCCCAGTGTGCCCCTCCTTGATATCCCGCAACCCACCACCAGGGTTCCGACACATAACACACTTTTTTCAGGAAAGTAAACCTCCAGGGGTCCTTTCCATATTTTTACAGAGACTGCATAAGGACCGTTAGAAAAGCATTACCCATTGATTATTAAGCTTGGACCAGTGGGGTCCGGTGTTCGGGCCCCACCACGTAAAACCAGTCCCCATGACGTGAGTGGAATCTCAGGTTATGGAACCCACCAGGAGTTGAAAACAAGTGCACACACACATGCACACACACACACACACACACACACACTCTCACACATGCACACACACACTCTCACACATGCACACACACACTCTCACACATGCACACACACACACACACACACTCTCACACATGCACACACACACTCTCACACATGCACACACACACTCTCACACATGCACACACACACTCTCACACATGCACACACACACTCTCACACATGCACACACACTCTCACACATGCACACACACACACCTTACCACCCATTCACCAAACAACATATCTCCCCCTAAAAGCTAATGCAGTGTGCTTTTGCGAGGCGCAGCAGTAGGTTTTGTTCTCCCAGGCCACAATTAGGTCCGCGAGTGGGAGAAGTGGCGCAGGCTCCGGCCCTCCCACCGTGGCCTCGTGTGGGGGGGAGTCTCTGGGGGGAGAGCAAGCATCCTGCACAGCATGTATATCCATCAGCGATGCACAAATTTGTACATTATGTGCGGAAATGGGGAAAAAAAATCACTAATTAGACATAAAACCTATAATTGATGCATCACAGGTTTGAAAGAGGCTCTCACTGTTAACACTAGAACTCCCATAGCAGTCAATTTGACGGATATTAGTTTTGGAAGTGTAATTTCTCTTAAAACTTTGACTTTTTTGTATCTGTTGATAGTTTATTTCAAAGTAACTTTTTTTTAAATGAAATTATCCTTTAATTTTGAAATCTGAGTCTCCCTTTAACTCCCAATCTCACTCATCAGAGAGGAGCAAATACTAGTTACCATAGCAACATACTGTCTACTTTCTACCAGTTAGCATTTAGACTACAAACTGTTTTTCTGTATTTCAACTTATATGAACCAGTTTTAGCACACATTGAAAGTGAGTAAAGAAAAGTGTGATTCTAAAATTGCAGCTTTGATGGTAAGAGGTTGCTATGGGCGACCACAGCATGTTATACAGTTTCTGCTGAAAAGTTTACACCTCCTGGGAGAGATTTAATTGATAATTTGGGATCATTTTGGAGATCTTTAATGATATCAAATGCACTTTTACACTAGTCGTTGGTGGTGTCATTAAGCCATAAAATGTTCAATAAACTTTCCATTAAACTTATAACATCATTGTGCCGATCTGTAGAGAGCTTTCCCCCCTGAGTAAAAAACACCCTGATTTTTAGATTACTATTTATTTCGGAACACATATTTTCACATATATCAACAAAACAAACAAACAACATTAAATACAACCAGTTTAAAAAGGCATTGGATGACTAAATTTCTTTATTGATGCCACCCCCATCACACATGCCACACAAAGCACTGGGTTAGGGTTATACAGTAGAATTCAAACACATACAGTACATACAGTAAAACAATACATGACGCTGCCACAGATGGTATAACACTGATAAGACCACACACAGACCCCAACACTCTCCGACAGTACACCTCTCGCTCATTGATCCACATATTTCCTCAGGACATCTTTACATTTACAACGTATGTAGGAAGAAGGACAAGAATGTCTTTCAAACTCTCCACACTTCCTGATTCTGGCTTTCTCTCCCAAACCTGTTTCATCATCATTTTGCCTGCGTGGAGGGGCTGCACGTCTGTTTTACAATTTCATTTTTGGATCAATAAATTGTCTGTCTGTCTGTGCTATCTCTCTATCTATCTCTCTATCTCTCTATCTCTATCTCTCTCTATCTATCTCTATCTCTCTCTATCTATCTCTCTCTATCTCTCTCTATCTATCTCTATCTATCTATCTCTATCTATCTCTATCTCTCTATCTCTCTATCTCTCTCTATCTCTCTATCTCTCTCTCTATCTATCTCTCTATCTCTATCTATCTCTCTCTATCTCTATCTATCTCTCTCTATCTCTCTATCTCTATCTATCTCTATCTATCTCTATCTCTCTCTATCTCTCTCTATCTCTCTCTATCTATCTCTCTATCTCTCTCTCTATCTCTCTATCTCTCTCTATCTCTATCTCTCTCTATCTATCTCTATCTCTCTCTATCTATCTCTCTCTATCTCTCTCTATCTATCTCTATCTCTCTATCTCTCTCTATCTCTCTATCTCTCTCTATCTCTCTATCTCTCTATCTATCTCTCTCTCTCTCTCTCTATCTATCTCTCTATCTCTCTCTCTATCTATCTCTCTATCTCTATCTATCTCTATCTCTATCTATCTCTCTCTATCTCTATCTATCTCTCTCTATCTCTATCTATCTCTCTCTATCTCTCTATCTCTCTATCTCTCTCTCTATCTCTCTATCTCTCTCTCTATCTCTCTATCTCTCTATCTCTCTATCTCTCTATCTCTCTCTATCTCTCTATCTCCATAGCTGTGTTTCCTGCTTGTTGATGATCTCAGTCTGTGTTGCTGTAATGCTGTTCCCTATGGCAAAAATGGAAAAAAAGTGACTGAAATTCGGAACAAATAGCTTGAATTTGGCTGAATGCATCTTAATTTGAGTTATTTTTTGGTTAGGGTCAGGGTTAAAGACCTTATGCCGGGTTTGATTTATTTAGAAATACAGTTTTTAATACCATTTTATATTAGAAGAGAACTACTAAAGGTTTCAAAATCAGTTGTTGTTTTTTTGTCTGATCCCCCCAAATCGAAATAACCCCATAGCAACGCCCTTAGAAACGGAAAAACTTCACAGCCCTTGGTGACGTCAGAGTGGGTACGTTTCAACGCTGTAAGTTGTTTACAATTTGGTATTCGTTCTTTTTTTGCGGATATTCAAGATGACAAGGCCGTGTACAGCGAGTCTAAAATAACTACTAGAATGTAACATTTCGATGTCACTGAGATAGTCCAGTGGTTGTGTCGATGGACTGTCCACCCAGATACTTGGGTTCAATTCCCACCTCGGACACTTTTTCACTCTAAAAACGGCAATATGTGTAGTGAGCAATTGTCACCTGTAGAGGGCAGTATTGTGTTGGGCATCAGTGGAGAGAAGAGAGAAAAGGCAGTCCTGTGGCATAGATCCATGGTTTTCAATGCATGGGCGTAACCCGCTATGACGTCACACACAGGTTAGAGCATAGACAGCTTAAATTCATTAAAAACACATTCTTTTTATAAAATATAGGATTTTTTTTGCCGGAATCTCTTTCAGATCGACATTGTCATGCAATTTTGATATCCACATTTTTTTTTTTTTTTAACCCGGCATAAGGTCTTTAAGTTTCAAATTTCTCTATGAAATGAGAACTGAATTGCTTCAAGCACACATTCTGTACGCCAAAAATAAGTAGCACAATAAAAAAAAAAAATCACTTTCACATTTCTTGGCCTCATCGACGCCTGTTAAATTTGTTCTGCTCAAACTGACTTTCACTTTTCTTTCTTCTGTGTAACGTGGCGTCTGTCATTTAAAGAGTAGTCCATAGAAGTATAAAACATATTCAACAATATTAACCTGAAGATAATGACCGCACTTTACACACGCTCCGATCTAACTGCGCCTGACTCACCGTTTCCACATCCGAGCGTGCGCAACCTGACCTCAAATCACACAAAGTCACACCTGAACAGAAGCAAAAGCAGCGCACTGACGAGGCTCGCCCTTTTTTATCCAGGACGACTATTTTGAACACGTGAATGCTTTGTATGATGAGCCGCGTTGAAAGAATGCGGCCTGAGTCACGCAGGCGCAGCAGGATGGTCCCAGTGACTCATGTGAGCGGACCTCGCACTCTCAGCTTTGACACACGCAAAAGTCACTTCAGGATTGACTTTGCTTTGTTGGGCGGGGCTTAGAGCTTTCCCATGCTCTAAAACAAATGTCAGACGTGCCATTGGGCAAGACGCGTCACCAGTCACGGTTAGAAGTGCAGATTAGTACTTTTTTTGGACGGATTTTTATTTTGTACTTAAAAAATGAAAGCTGCACCGTTCCAGCTTTTGATGTTCAATATTATCTCAAAAATAATCAATCTCAATAATTTCGATCCCTGCCGATTCTACATATAAACCAATTTCTGTGAAGGTATTTTTAGTTCCCAGCTCACTCATAACATATCGTGTAGGGCTGTAACAATCAATGGTATTGTGGTTAGGCACAATGTTGTGTGATGATCATAGACTAGTAATTAACGGACGTAGTCACGACTATCTCAGTCGTTGAAACTAATGTGCTCACACTTTTCCCTTCTGTGCGTTTTTTTCAAAATGGCCGTGGGACAGGAAAATGTGGAAAAAGAAAAATGTGCGCAAGCATTAGCCGGCATGAGCCCCATTCATTTAACGAGTGCATTCAAAAGTCCACAGCGGCAAAACTAGACTGGTCCAAAATATACTCCCTCAGCATTGACACACATCTGGGACATACCGTTGGACCCAGAAGTGTAAAAACTTTACTCAGAAAGGCCAGGGCTCGAACCCATGACCTATTGCTCCGTGCCACCGTGTTGCCACCATTACATCAATTAAAAGACAGATCATACGGATCCAACAAAACTTACAATGTTTTCTCGATATTGGATGGCAGATGTGTTCACAGTGCAGCGCTCCCTGTCCGGGCGGCACGGTGGCTGAGTGGATAGCACTCTCGCCTCTCAGCAAGAAGGTTCTGGGTTCGAATCCTGGTCGGACCAGGGCCTTTCTGAGTGGAGTTTGCATGTTCTCCCCGTGTCTGCGTAGGTTTCCTCCGGGTACTCCGGTTTCCCCTACCACTAAAAATATGTACAATAGTTCTGGCATGTGCCTCCTGTACTGGCCCCTCCCATCTCTGTGTGGAGTGAGAGACTAATGCCCAAAAAAATAACAATTGTAAACCGCTTTGTGACTCTGGTCTGTGAAAGGCGGTATATAAATAAAGCTTACTTACTTACTTACTTACTAGTGCTCCCACAGTTCTCCAGCTCTAACGTGTGTTCTTTGCCACAGGGAGCAGATCTTCCGCCTGTCCACAGAGCTGGTGTGCAGGGCGTACAGGGAGGTGTACGCCGCACTCACCAGCCCGGCTAACGGCTACAAGGAACTCGAAAGCCTCATGCCCCGTTCACCCCAGCAGGTCCAGACTCTACTGTCCTGAGCCTCCTCCTCCACCTGCCCCTCCGACCACCTCCACCCACCTGTGACCACCTCTGACCACCTCCAACCACCACCACCGCTGCAGCAGAAAGACTCAACCAGTGGGAGTGTATTGAGAGCTCGGAGTGGTCAGGATTGGCGTAATAATGACATAAATGTATAAAGAAGGCTGTGTTCTAAAACCAGCCAGATGTATGTAATGTTCTTTCCTGCTGAGCCCACAGAAAACCAGAGTTCTGCTCTGGCTTGGCACATTCTTCTTTTACAAAGTAATGTCTTTTTTACTTACTGATATTGAACATAAAGTGAAGGGATATGTGTAAATGTGTAAACATTGTTTTTTTTTCTATTTTCACTTTAAACCTGTGCTCAGACTTATGCACTGTCAGACTTTTACAATCTCAGAAACTGGGAAACTCAAAAAAACGGTATTGAGCTCAACTCCACGGTCCAGAGTGTGTGCCTTTCTCATGAGCCAACAAAGAGAATCAGTTGCATTTTTTCACATTTGTTTTTGTTTCTGCTGCTCTGTTTGTCAGTCAGTCACCAGCTCCTCATGAACGCTCTGATTTGGGGAAGTCGAAAGATTACCAAGATATCTGAATGTTCGAGCTCGCTTGAAAGTGGCATGGGAGCTTTTATACAGAAGGGGCAGAGTTATATGTTTCTGTCATAAGTTCCTGATTGTAGTGTGGACGGATGGAGAAACAACCCCAGGTATGTTTTTGATGAGGAACAAGGTTGTCACATGGTTAAAAAGCTTCACAAAGTCGATGTATCTCATAATGTCTTCTTAAAACATGAGGCTGAACGTGGCTCGTGTCTCTCCTCTGTTTGACACTGGCTACAAACCAACAAGAACAGAGTGTACGCTCCAGCTCTATGATTTGAAGAAGACTTTCCCTGCTTTAATGACATAAGTGACCACAGAGCAGGATGGCTGGGTGAAGGGCCCTGTGGGTAACTCCAGGCTCTGGGCACTGGGTCAGGACTTCCCCAGCTCCTCCTCAGCTCCTCCTCTGCTCCTCCTCTGCTCCTCCTTCATGAAGTCACTAACATAACAATACTGAGCTGATGTTTCTAATACAGTTGCAGCGTTGCCATGGAGAACTCGTCCCTTTTCAGGGTACAGGAGCAGTACCGGCATCCAAAACTTATCTTTAGGCCTTCACATATTGGAGACCAGTAACAACAGTGGAAAAGGAAGTGTTGTTTAGATCTGCACAGGGTAGGGGTCAAAGACTGGACAAAGATCTGTCAAAATAAAAGGGTACAAAGAGACTTCTGACTTTCAAAATAAGTCTACTAAAGTCACAGACAGGAGCATCCAGTACCAGAGGGAATCACATTATAAAGGGAAATTAAGGCTTTGGCGTAATTAAGTAGTACTAGCTTTCTATACTTTTTTGTCTTATTAAAAGAACCATCTAATAAGACAAAATTAACGTGTCCCAACCCGCATGACACGTCAATTTTGTCTTAAACATAAGACAAAATTAACTTTTTACATAAAGGGAAATTACCATAGTGTTTGTTTAAACAGGGAAAACGCACATTCATCCAGTTTCAACTATAGTAGCCATTAAAAGACAAACTGTTTATTAAAGGACATGCTCCAGTTTCCTGGTTCTCAAACCACGCTCTCAAAAGTTTTCTTTTATTGCTGTTTAAGTTACTGTTAGTTTTGATCAGAGGGTTGACCCTGATCATGCCTCGGCACAAAGTCTAGGTTGTTAGGGACGTTAAATGCTGAGTCCTTTTGACACACGGCCCGTGCTGATCAGAGTAGAAGGAAGAGGAACCCTGGGTTTCTGAGCAAAAAACGGTTTTGTTTTTTTTACTTGGTATTTCTTCAGAGTGGTTCCTAAAGAAGAGGGTTTGGGACCTAGCTTGGTCACGAGATACCATTTCTATAGCATATTTTTATAATACAAACAAATTGATCCAATTTTATTACTTGTATGTGATATTAGTTCAAACAGCACAACATATGAGTGAAATGAAAGAAGAAAAAAACATTTGAACAATTTTGGCATGTTTTGACACTTCTAATTATTCTAACTATGAGTAGTGTTTTGAACTGCACCCTCAGTGCACCATCCCCAGTGTCAAATATGGGGGTGGCAGCATAATGCTGTGGGGCTGCTTTTCTTCAGAGGGGATGGTGAACTAGTCCCTTAATGGGAATTTGGAGGGAGCAAAATTCAGGACAGTCTTGGCAGAAAAGTTGCTGGAGCTGGGGATTCCACATATTCTGTACTCACTGACGTAAGCCACACTTTTCAGTTCTTGAGTTTTTTTTTTTTTTAAATCATCAAAATCATGTATATTTTTTCTTTCAGCCTACAGTTGTCTGTTGTGTTCTTTCAGTGTGGCTAAACCTATGCTGACAAAATGCGCAAGAGTTCAAAGTGTATTCATACCTTTGCAAGGCCCTGTTCTGTGTGTGAGTGGGTTCCAAGGTTATTTCAGAGGTCCCAGGTGAAAAGTTTGGAACGCCTCTTGTGCCTCCCACATTAAGATCAAAAACTTATGGCATAAATTGACACAATCCCATCCATCCATTAAACTAATTTTCCCGTTTAGAGCTGAGTCAAAGCTCTATAAAGATCATCTTCAACAGAATTCACTCCTCAGCGACTGCAGTAAATTTAGTGGTGCAATAAAAGCATAAATTCCAACATGTCCTAAAAGTGAATGTAACCGAGTCGAGAATTTGCGGTGCTTGTGTAACCTCCTCTCTGGAAGTCCCGCGCACATCAGCGGCCAGGACATTGAGTTCTGGAAGTCCTCGGAGTGGTCCAGAGCAGAGCAGCATCTGGCCCCAGCACTGGACCCTTAAATAGACCAGTGACGTTTGGCTGCAGCAGGATTCCTCTGTGTTTCCCTCAGCAGCAGCACCTATGACAACACTCTTCATATTCACTCTGTCCATTCTCAATCAAAAACAAGAGCCGGAAACCATGGATTGTGGTTACTGAGTTGGAGGAGTTTACTTCTTTTGTAAGTCAACAGTTCCAGAGGGAGTTGGAGCAAAAATGTGTCCATAAGCACTTCCCTATTGGAATTTATTGAGCTAGCGGGATAGCATTGTCTGTGGGTTTGAGTATTTTTATTATTTTTGCAAGATTGTTATTAGATGAGTAATTAGTAATGTCAGAAGCGTGATTAAATTGAGATAATTTCATGTGGCGTTCTTCGCATGTGAGAAACTTCTGGCACAATCTTGTTACTTCGCCCCTTCTGTCTTAAAGCTCCTGTCTGATGTCGCTTTCATGCGATTTCAGAAACTCAGCAGTTCCGACTTCCCACTCTGGAAAGGTTCACTTCAACTTGGAAAGTAACCCTAACTTTGGCCGGAATTAACTCTGGCTGGAGCTCTGGCTGGAGCTTGGGCTGGTACTCGGGCTGGAGCTCGGGCTGGTGCTCGGACTGTAAATCTGGGTTTAACTCTGGCTGGAACTCTGGCTGGAACTCTGGCTGGAACTCTGGCTGGAGCTCGGGCTGGAGCTCTGGCTGGTGCTCTGGCTGGAACTCTGGCTGGAGCTCTGGCTGGAGCTTGGGCTGGTACTCGGGCTGGAGCTCGGGCTGGTGCTCGGACTGTAAATCTGGGTTTAACTCTGGCTGGAACTCTGGCTGGAACTCTGGCTGGAACTCTGGCTGGAGCTCGGGCTGGAGCTCTGGCTGGTGCTCTGGCTGGAACTCTGGCTGGAACTCTGGCTGGAGCTCGGGCTGGTGCTCGGACTGGAACTCCGGCCGGGTCAATGGTCCCAGAGTTTTCAACACTGTGACACGAGTCAGACTAGGACTGGATTATATTGTTATTATTAATGAAACAAACATATCTAAGCCAAGGATAATCCATGTGCGTGGATCTATCTGTCTTTATTATAATAATTATTAATGCCCAAAAAATACATGTCTCCTTTAAAGCAGCTTTTGTGATTCCTTGATGCCAGGCACACATTTTGTCTGAACTTTTATCAATGAAGACAACGCAACCATCTGATGTAAGTAGGTAAATCTTATTGATATAGCACCTTTCAGACACAAAGTCCCAACCCGCATGACACGTTTTTCCTCACTCCTGATGCAGGGTCGCCTTCAGGAGGCACATGCAGACCTAGTAGGGGTAGGGGAAACCGGAGCATCTGGAGGAATGCAAACTCCACATAGAAAAACCTGGAGGTGCAGTTGAACCCAGGACCTTCTGCTGTCGTACAGTATGACACTTCTTGTTGAATCTTTCACCACTGCCTTGACCCATGAAGACAAATCCAGGTCTTTATCAGCCTGAAAGAAAGCGGTCACAGACATTAGTCCATATTCCACTCACACAACTGCAGGACACACATGTTTGGGCAGATGGCTCCTGACTAACAGAATGAGTGGCTGGACAATGGCTCCTTTGTTTAAAAATATACCTAAACTATCTTTCTATGTGGCGTCTCTCTTTGGGTCTTATCACAGCCTTGACAAAACAAAGTAAGAATGTGACCGATCAATTATGAGATTGAAATGATGATGCTGGTTATTTTTGTTCAAAAAATTTCTGAGCAAGCATCAGGTCTAACTATGAACACATGGTATGTTCTTGCATTTTGTGCAACATTTTTCACCCTGTCCAACTCAGTATTTTTGCCGTTTTTTGAATGGTTAATGGAACTTGTCTCCTTATTTTCTGGCATAGAGGTCCCAGGTGTATTTTGGGAGCGAAGGAGACGATGACAAAAGTAAAAGCAGAATGTTATAAAAAGTGCATTTATATGGAGGAACTTCACATAACTTAAATTTTTACTGTAATTTCTTACCTTTTTACTGTATATTGTGGCTTTTGAATGGTTGTAAATTTCCCCTGTGTGAGATCAATAAAGTCTATCTTATCTTGTTGCTCTGGAATGCAATATTGGGATTTCACAAGAGTGGAACACATACATTATACATGGGTACGTTCTGAGTGTTCTCAGCGCTTTTTAAACAATGTGAATTATACCATTATCGTGATATTTCCTTCCCATACTTCCGGTGCAACATGTGCAGTAATGCGGTAGCTGTATCGGAGTCTTGTGGTGAAGAGGGAGCAGCGTCTCCAGTCAGAGCTGCATCAGTCTGTTGTGATGAAGAGGGACTGCTCTGCACCATGAGCCAAAGTAAATTCCTGTTTTGTGACTTCCTGCAAAATAATAGTTCTGATTCTGTTTCTGATGCGTCCCGGACTCCTCTCTGGAGAGGTGTTCTGGGCATGTCTCACCTGGAAGAGACCCAAGGGAAGACCCAGGACATGTTGGAGGGACTATGGCTCATCTGGCTTATGAACCCCTTGGGATTCCCAAACTGGAAGAAGCATGTGTGGATAGGGAAGTCAGGCATCTTTGCTCAGACTGCTGCCCCGGCAAATCGGCAACGGATACAGCAGAAGAAAATGCATGGATGGATTTTTTTATGTAATTTTTTGCCCATAACATCCAGCCCTAGGAAGTAATGTGACACCTAAATCTGGAATACTAAACATGTCTTTGAACAAACCCAGCTCTCCGATCAAAGCTCTGCACTTTCTCTCCACAGACCAACCACCATGGCCTCTTACATAACCCTCTCCTCTTCTTTATAAGCCACGTGATTTTATGAACCTCTGACATAGCATCACCATTCTCTGAGGTTACAGTGCCTCAGGCCCCGGCTTACGTCATCGCTCTATTCACACTAAAAGTAGGCCAAACCCAAACAACTCAATTAATTTCCTTTTTATTTCATTTTCCCCCATCTGAGTGCGCCGCCTTTTACATCTTTCTGTTCAAGCCTTAGAACCTGTTCGCTCAGAAGACATTTTGACACCTAGTTATTAATGCGTGTCCATCTGTGCTTTCGGTTACGCAGGAGAGGAGTGGACAGAGCAGCTGCAGGGACAGGTGGCTGGGTAAACAAAGCATGAGAGGGGTGCGCAGAGGCTGGACACGACCGGGAGTCCAGTTCAGTGAGGCCGGTCCGGAGAGGCTGGGCCAGAGAGGCCGGTCTAGGGAGGCCGGTCCGGTGAGGCCAGTCCAGGGGTGCTGGTCCAGGGAAGCTGGTCTATAGCCAGCTCATTTTTCACAGTGTCACAAATATATGCACATATTTTTATGTATCTACAATCTGTGATGTTGTGAATAGAACATTGAAATTGAGCATAAAATAATGAAAAACCTGTTGATCGTCAGCTGCTCTGGATTCTGATATTGCACATGTGCAAACCAACAAACTTTGTCAGTCATCTCTTCATGCTCATTTTTCATGGCTTCTTTCATCATTCACATTACACTTCCATCCACATGCACCCAACGCTTGTGCTGCCGCTCGGACCAGAAGGCTGCAACACACTCACCACGTTTCTGACTCACCCAACTGCTGCCAGTCATTACTCAACCTCATCCAGCTCTGCTCTCTAACGGCCAGTCCAGTGGTGCCTTCGGACAAGGAAGGGGGCAAGCTCTAGAGTCTAGACCATACAGTATATTCGGATTAGACCGATGTCACCTTATTGTTGGAGAAATGCGTAAGAAGCCGATTTGAACATAAGCTAGCTTGAGTAAATTTTTCCTTATATGGGCATACAGCATGTTTTTTTCCCGACAGGATAAGCTTTTCTCTCTGAAGCCCTGTTCCCACCAGACCAAGCGGTGCTGCAGGTCTACATGCTAAGTCCATGGTGTATGATTGTATGTTGGTGCGAATAATAACAGCGGCGACAATGTAGGAGATGAACATTGCTCAACTTTTTGGCCAGACTGGTGTGCGGCAACCAATCAGAGAGCAGCATAGAAGAAGTGCTGGCGACAGAAGCCTTTCAAAATCAGCCAAAACAAGAGCTAAACCAGGATTAAACCTGGACTGACCCATCAGTCCTAGCGTTTTACCTCTTTTTACTTCCCATTCTTGATTATTGCGATATTGTTTATCAAAACACCTCTGCTACAAATCTTCAGCCACTTAATGTTATTTATAATAGTCTTTGTAGGTTTATTCTCCGTTGTTCCTTCAGAACTCACCACTGTCAGCTGTACAAACAAGGTGCTCCGCTCTGCAAAGAGGACCGTGGGCTGTGAGCTTCCTGTTCTGGAGGTTCTTTATAAATCCAGACTTTTAAACAAAGCTCTTAGGATTGTTAATGACTCTTCTGGCCACCCTGGGAAAGCCATGTTCCAGCTTCTTCCCTCTGGCAGAAGATATCGCTCTCTGAGATGCAGGACATCTCGTTACGCTAACAGTTTTTATCCACAGGCTGTTATCAGTGTGAACAGAGCACTTTAATGTTTGCACTTGTTTTGAAACTGTTTTAGTCGATCCATTTCACAGTGACATTTGTTTACTGTTTTATTTGTTTTATTTCTGTCTTTTAATGTTGTTTTATGTCTGTATTTGTCTGTGCACACTGGAGACTTTTGCTAATGTATTCCAATGTGGTTTTGAATCTGATCTGAATCTCTCTTGGCTCACTCCATCCTCCAGACAACAATTTCACTGGCTATTATTTATTTTTAAATGTATTAATCTCAGTTATCCTGATTATTTTTCACCCTAATTCACCCTCGCTGTGTGAAAGAGGTTTCGCAGGTCTTTCCTTCCTGCTGCTGTCAGACTGTACAACGAGAATGTGTAACAGGAACTGCTGAGTCTGCACAAGTGTTTCTGATAATTCACAAGTAACTTTGTCACTAGTCACTTTACCTGTTATCACTACTACAGTACATATAAGTGGATGTGAGAGTAGAATGGGAAGGGTGGTAGAGGGGGATGGGTGAGGAGGGGGGGGGGAGGATGGGAACTACAGATCATGGGGTTTATGGAGACATACATATGGTGGATAAAGTGGGGATGGGGGTTAATAGGATGTGAGCCTAGTATGGGGAGACAGGTACTACATACATTGAGAGTTGAACGTACTACTTTATACTGTCGGGTCTGGTTCTATGTAGGGGTATGAGGGGTAGTCAGTATGGATGATAATGGGGATTGATGGTTGGGAGATGGGGTGGGAAATTGTTGAAGGGGAATAATTGTTGTAAGAGGGGATTTTCTTGGGTGAGGTGTGGGGGAAAGTATATGAGAAAAGATGTTACAAGGAGATAAGGGAGGATAATAGGGTTAGTTTGGGACTGATTACTGGAAATCATGTGCGACGGCTTAGGGGCGAGTAGGTGGATTCTGACTAAGAGAGTCTAGATGGGTAGTTCTTTCTGACATTACGTGGTCATTTTGTATTAACTTTTTGGTTGTTTTGAGGGTGCACATTCTAAGTGTAGTCTTTTGTATTGATTTTGTTGTATTATTTTATATCTCTGAGACATGAGTGATTGTTATATTCTGAGGAGATTTTTGATGGTTAAAGGGTTTGAAAGTACTAGTTGATGTCTGATTATATTACTGTCTCATTCTGACTTATGTCACACACACTATGATTTACAAGGGGGGTGGAGTGGGGGGGGTGGTGACTTAGCGGGATTACTATGTGTATTTTGTCAGACAATGAATGGTGTTAGAATTGTAACGTGCGTGTGGGGTTGTGTGTGATTCATTGGATAGGGGGAAGTAGAGTAGCATAATGATATGTGGTGTTGATTTATAATGGGAGTTTTGGTGTTACAGGGTATAAATATAAAGTTGTACAGAATTTTGTGCTGGTGCGACAGAGGGTGAGATTGATAATTAGGGGGATACAAGAGGAGGGGTAGGGAAGATTGTTTGTTGGGTTTATGTAGGTAGTGTGGGTATGAGGACGAACTGTTTTGTGACACTAGCGTCAGGGGATAGTATGTGGAAAATGTGTTGTGGTTAGTAGGTAAAATTATGGTTTTGGTTGTTTAATGGGAAAGGAAATTGGGATTTATAGCGGGGCGGTTGTCTGAGATTAGGAGGGAGTGGTTTGGGGTGTAGATGACTGGCGAGTGATTTGAGTAAGTGTTATGAGATGAGGTAGGGGAAAGGGTGAGTGGGGGGAGGAGGAGATTTTAGGAATTTACATTGATATACGTGAGGTTAGAGGGGAGTGGGGCATGAAAGAGAACAGGACAAGGAGTAAGTAGGGTGTAGTTGGTATTAGGGACACAGAGGTAGGGAGTGGGGGCACGTGACAGGTGTATGACATGTTTTTGGTTACAGATGGATGTAGGCACATTGATGGCAGAAAGTATTGATGGTATACTGGTGTCTTTATCTAGGTTACGGTGACAGGATGATAGGGATAATGGTTATCAAAAGGAGGCGCGAGAGTTAAGAGAGAATTAAAAGTCACAAATCTGACAGTGTGATCATAGGCAAGGCAGAGGGGTGCTCTGTCCTGTCTCTGCTCTCTGGTCTGTCTCTCTGTCTCTGTCCTGGTCTGTCTCTCTGTCCTGGTCTGTCTCTCTGTCCTGGTCTGTCTCTCTCTCTCTGTCCTGGTCTGTCTCTCTGTCTCTGTCTGTCTGTCTCTGTCCTGTCTGTCCTGGTCTGTCTCTGTCCTGGTCTGTCTCTCTGTCTCTGTCCTGTCTGCTCTCTGTCTCTGCTCTGTCTCTGCTCTCTGCCTGGCTCTGCCTCTGTCTCTCTCTGTCTCTCCTCTGCCTGTCTCTGCCTCGTCTCTGCCTGCTCTGTCTCTGCCTCTGTCTCTGCTCTGCCTCTTCTCTGTCTCTGCCCTCTGTCTCTGTCTCTGCTCTGTCTCAGTCCTGGTCTGTCTCTGCCTCGCTGTCTCTGCTCTGCCTCTTCTCAGCCTCATGCCTACTGCACACTGTCTCTGCTCTACCTCATGTCTCTCACTCTAGCCTCTTTCTCTGCCTACTGTCACAGTCTCTGTCTCTGCCTCCTTCTCTCTCTCTCTGGTCCAATCACGTGTCTCCTCTGTCTCTGGTCCAATCACGTGTCTCCTCTGTCTCTGGTCCAATCACGTGTCTCCTCTGTCTCTGGTCCAATCACGTGTCTCTTCTGTCTCTGGTCCAATCACGTGTCTCTTCTGTCTCTGGTCCAATCACACGTGTCTCCTCTGTCTCTGGTCCAATCACGTGTCTCCTCTGTCTCTGGTCCAATCACGTGTCTCCTCTGTCTCTGTCTCACGTGGTCCAATCACGTGTCCCTCTCCTCTGTCTCTGGTCCAATCACGTGTCTCCTCTGTCTCTGGTCCAATCACGTGTCTCTTCTGTCTCTGGTCCAATCACGTGTCTCCTCTGTCTCTGGTCCAATCACGTGTCTCCTCTGTCTCTGGTCCAATCACGTGTCTCCTCTGTCTCTGGTCCAATCACGCGTCTCCTCTGTCTCTGGTCCAATCACGTGTCTCCTCTGTCTCTGGTCCAATCACGTGTCTCCTCTGTCTCTGGTCCAATCACGTGTCTCTGTTTCAGACCAGGGGTTCCAGACGGCGTCTGTTTATAATGAGCCCGGATCCATGCAGGTACGACTCTACGGTAACCACGGCAACAGCACTGTGTCACTCTGGTGGTGACCTGCAATTGGCCACGCCCCCTGTGGTTGGCCATGCCCCCTGTGGTTGGCCATGCCCCCTGTGGTTGGCCATGCCCCCTGTGGTTGGCCATGCCCCCTGTGGTTGGCCATGCCCCCTGTGGTTGGCCACGCCCCCTGTGGTTGGCCACGCCCCCTGTGGCTCAGGTGTGTTTTGTGTTCAGGAAGAACAGGAAGTGGGAGCAGTGGATTCTCCTCAGAGACCAGAGCGGAGCTACAGCTTCACCCAGCAGGTCAGTCCTGGTCCAGACTTGGTCTGGTTCTGGTCCAAACCTGGTTCTCTCTGCAGGTGAAGCCAGTGTTGGGTTCTTCTCCTTCCTCATCTTCATCCTCCTCCTGCTCCTCACCAGTGACGGCTCCTCCTCCCAGACCAGGTGAGACTGAGGTGTGTGTGTGTGTGTGTAACCTTGTATATATGTGTGTACAGTAGCAGTACTGTGTGTGTGTAACCTTGTATATATGTGTGTACAGTACTGTGTGTGTGTAACCTTGTATATATGTGTGTACAGTAGCAGTACTGTGTGTGTAACCTTGTATATATGTGTGTACAGTAGCAGTACTGTGTGTGTGTAACCTTGTATATATGTGTGTACAGTAGCAGTACTGTGTGTGTAACCTTGTATATATGTGTGTACAGTAGCAGTACTGTGTGTGTAACCTTGTATATATGTGTGTACAGTAGCAGTACTGTGTGTGTAACCTTGTATATATGTGTGTACAGTAGCAGTACTGTGTGTGTATATGTGTGTACAGTAGCAGTACTGTGTGTGTATATGTGTGTACAGTAGCAGTACTGTGTGTGTATATGTGTGTACAGTAGCAGTACTGTGTGTGTATATGTGTGTACAGTAGCAGTACTGTGTGTGTATATGTGTGTACAGTAGCAGTACTGTGTGTGTATATGTGTGTACAGTACTGTTTGTGTATATGTGTGTACAGTACTGTGTGTATATATGTGTGTACAGTACTGTGTGTATATATGTGTGTACAGTAGCAGTACTGTGTGTGTATATATGTGTGTACAGTAGCAGTACTGTGTGTATATATGTGTGTACAGTAGCAGTACTGTGTGTATATATGTGTGTACAGTAGCAGTACTGTGTGTATATATGTGTGTACAGTAGCAGTACTGTGTGTATATATGTGTGTACAGTAGCAGTACTGTGTGTATATATGTGTGTACAGTAGCAGTACTGTGTGTATATATGTGTGTACAGTAGCAGTACTGTGTGTATATATGTGTGTACAGTAGCAGTACTGTGTGTATATATGTGTGTACAGTACTGTGTGTATATATGTGTGTACAGTACTGTGTGTATATATGTGTGTACAGTACTGTGTGTATATATGTGTGTACAGTACTGTGTGTATATATGTGTGTACAGTACTGTGTGTATATATGTGTGTACAGTACTGTGTGTATATATGTGTGTACAGTACTGTGTGTATATATGTGTGTACAGTACTGTGTGTATATATGTGTGTACAGTACTGTGTGTGTATATGTGTGTACAGTACTGTGTGTGTATATGTGTGTACAGTACTGTGTGTGTATATGTGTGTGTACAGTACTGTGTGTGTATATGTGTGTGTACAGTACTGTGTGTGTATATGTGTGTGTACAGTACTGTGTGTGTATATGTGTGTGTACAGTACTGTGTGTGTATATGTGTGTGTACAGTACTGTGTGTGTATATGTGTGTGTACAGTACTGTGTGTGTATATGTGTGTGTACAGTACTGTGTGTGTATATGTGTGTGTACAGTACTGTGTGTGTATATGTGTGTGTACAGTACTGTGTGTGTATATGTGTGTGTACAGTACTGTGTGTGTATATGTGTGTGTACAGTACTGTGTGTGTATATGTGTGTGTACAGTACTGTGTGTGTATATGTGTGTGTACAGTACTGTGTGTGTATATGTGTGTGTACAGTACTGTGTGTGTATATGTGTGTGTACAGTACTGTGTGTGTATATGTGTGTGTACAGTACTGTGTGTGTATATGTGTGTGTACAGTACTGTGTGTGTATATGTGTGTGTACAGTACTGTGTGTGTATATGTGTGTGTACAGTACTGTGTGTGTATATGTGTGTGTACAGTACTGTGTGTGTATATGTGTGTGTACAGTACTGTGTGTGTATATGTGTGTGTACAGTACTGTGTGTGTATATGTGTGTGTACAGTACTGTGTGTGTATATGTGTGTGTACAGTACTGTGTGTGTATATGTGTGTGTACAGTACTGTGTGTGTATATGTGTGTGTACAGTACTGTGTGTGTATATGTGTGTGTACAGTACTGTGTGTGTATATGTGTGTGTACAGTACTGTGTGTGTATATGTGTGTGTACAGTACTGTGTGTGTATATGTGTGTGTACAGTACTGTGTGTGTATATGTGTGTGTACAGTACTGTGTGTGTGTATATGTGTGTGTACAGTACTGTGTGTGTATATGTGTGTGTACAGTACTGTGTGTGTATATGTGTGTGTACAGTACTGTGTGTGTATATGTGTGTGTACAGTACTGTGTGTGTATATGTGTGTGTACAGTACTGTGTGTGTATATGTGTGTGTACAGTACTGTGTGTGTATATGTGTGTGTACAGTACTGTGTGTGTATATGTGTGTGTACAGTACTGTGTGTGTATATGTGTGTGTACAGTACTGTGTGTGTATATGTGTGTGTACAGTACTGTGTGTGTATATGTGTGTGTACAGTACTGTGTGTGTATATGTGTGTGTACAGTACTGTGTGTGTATATGTGTGTGTACAGTACTGTGTGTGTATATGTGTGTGTACAGTACTGTGTGTGTATATGTGTGTGTACAGTACTGTGTGTGTATATGTGTGTGTACAGTACTGTGTGTGTATATGTGTGTGTACAGTACTGTGTGTGTATATGTGTGTGTACAGTACTGTGTGTGTATATGTGTGTGTACAGTACTGTGTGTGTATATGTGTGTGTACAGTACTGTGTGTGTATATGTGTGTGTACAGTACTGTGTGTGTATATGTGTGTGTACAGTACTGTGTGTGTATATGTGTGTGTACAGTACTGTGTGTGTATATGTGTGTGTACAGTACTGTGTGTGTATATGTGTGTGTACAGTACTGTGTGTGTATATGTGTGTGTACAGTACTGTGTGTGTATATGTGTGTGTACAGTACTGTGTGTGTATATGTGTGTGTACAGTACTGTGTGTGTATATGTGTGTGTACAGTACTGTGTGTGTATATGTGTGTGTACAGTACTGTGTGTGTATATGTGTGTGTACAGTACTGTGTGTGTATATGTGTGTGTACAGTACTGTGTGTGTATATGTGTGTGTACAGTACTGTGTGTGTATATGTGTGTGTACAGTACTGTGTGTGTATATGTGTGTGTACA